TCATTTTTTTTTTTTTTTTTTAGAAAATACAGAATTGAATTATGTAACGTTCCGTGGTATAAGCACATGTGCATTGGTGTGTATATCATTCCACTGTATGCTGTACCATTACCTCCTCAGAGCTGCAGTCTCTCTTCATAGCACATGTGCACGCTCCGTCACATGGGCATCTCTCTTGCTGACTTGCTTATCTTGGCTACGCAGGCTCTTTGGTGAATCAGGGGAAAAACATTGACAAGTGAGAGAACAGTAGTAACACGTGGAACTCGATAATCTTTTTGTAGACTCTTAGCATTAGAAAATTATATTAACCTGAATATAGAGAACAGTATATTTTTAGTTTAAAAAGTTCAAAAGTAGCTTATGCCTGATCCACTATCTGTATGTGAAAATCAGAGAGAAAAAATTTAGAATTTATGGTGACTGTTTAGCTACAGAAACCAAAAGAAAGCAAGTTTTAGAAAGGGAATGCTTGTTCATTGTTTCCTCTGCAAATAGTAAACATTAATAAACATAGAGTGTATAGAAACTCAGATGTCTTTGAAGAATAATTATGTCAGGTTTGGAGACTAAATACAATTAATATGTGAAACAGAAGAATTTTAAAGCTTCTTTAAAAAAAAATCTCAACCAAGCCTTTAATAATATAACTATGAAGTTACATTATTAAAATATATTTCCTATATTTATAGTCTTAACACTAAACAAATACACTGGTAATTTAATAGAGGGCCAAATAGGTAGTTTCTACCAGTGTAGGTATTACAAAATTGACCTGGAACAGAAAAGCTTTCTGAAAACCTTGTTTTAATCTATAAGAATACTGTTTTAGATTAAAATATTCAACTTCAGTAATGGAAAAAAATGGTGGGGGGCAGGGGGTAGAAAGTACTGTGTTTCAAAATGGTTGCACAGTTTGGAAAGTGAAAATGCAGTTGTCTGGCTAAGAGCACTAACGGGAAACAATTATTAAATGGTAGATTTTATAGATACCTGTTTTTCCAAGATATCCTAGATTATTAGCCGGTGTCATGTTAAGAAATTCTAGAAGGGTGCCTTCCTGTTTTAGCTTTTCATCTTTGCTGTTGACATTTAGCCCTTTGGTCAGTAATGCTGGCAGGAGTTTTGTGTTGCACTTTATTTACTTGATGCATCTTTCTTCCCAGATCATTCAACTTCAAGTGGTACTTCCTCGTTTAAACCCAGCCGATCATTGGTCTCTATTCCCACTGCCCATGTGATGCCGTCTAATGCCAGCTCTTCACTTTCCAAACACAGGGAACCTTTCAAGTGTGATGGTTCAAAATGGAGTACAAGCCTTTTACGGTCAGGAGGAAGCAGAAATCAGGGCACACGGGACAACTCTCTGGACATGAAGGATGCAAGGCCTGTAAGGAAATGGTCATCCTTGTCTAAACTCAGCACACCAGATACCTGCAGTCAGGATGAAAGTATCCATTCGGAGGACTCCAGGGCTAGTACAGACAGATCAGGGAGAGACAAGACCATGTCACCGCAATTAAGGACAAATGGGCCAAGTTGTTTGCATACTAGTATGGAATTGCTAAAAATTGAGGATAAAGAAACAGGGAAAAAACAATTGTCTGCACTGGACTGCAAATACAAATTTGAAAGTTGCAGCAAAGATGACTTTGTTTCAGACTCCTCTCATCGGAGACATGCCTTAGACATGACCTATAGTGCCTTACCTGAAAGCAAACCCACCACGGCCAGTTGTGAGGCTTTTGGGCAAAAATATGCAACTTTGCAGTCTGTGAGTGGCGTTCCCATTCAGCCCTCAGTGAGGACTCAGATGTGGCTTAGAGAACAGTTGCATGCAAATCCTTTGGACTGTAGGACTGCAGAGGAGTCATACAGTTTAGCAGCCGGGCAACTACAGCAGCTTGAAGAACTTAGAACGGGAAGTGAACAGTTTACGCAGGTAAGAATAAAACCTGGTGTGTGCTGCCATCAGGTGGTCGGTAAGCAATAAGACATCAAATATTTTTCATTAAATGCTTGGTGCAGAATTCCTCTCGTTTCACCTAAACTACTAATGTTTTTAAATTTCTTTAGGAATTAGTATGAGCAGCTTTTCATTAATCTTGATTATTGTTTGAATACTAATAAAGTGGTTCAGTTAATTTTTATATCTACTTGCAGTTACCCATGCTAGACAGTTTATCTACATGGGAATGGCAGTCCTGCTTTTTTGTACTTGTAATGTGCATGGTGCATCTAGTAGTATTTATGAGACATTTCAAGAGAGGCTTTAATTGAAACAATAATATTGACATGAGTCAGAACATATATTATCTGAATTTCTACAGAAATTGAGTTTGTTTGATTCAAAGTTGAATCTTGGTAAGATTGCTGGCACCCACATACTGAAAGAATGGCCACTTCACAAATGTTTCTCACATTCGCAGCTGGGTTTATAAAACACTGTCCCATTTTCCAGTCTGGTCTCTCTTGTTTTTTAAATATTCACACACTCAGACTGGTTTGTGTAAATATGTTGAATTTTTCTGTATTTTGCCTGCTTATCTTTGCAGCGTTTTGCCAGGGTTCTTTTTTTCCCCCCCTAAAATAATCTTAAACAGATCATTTTAACATGGTGATCCCCAAGCAGGTGATGGTGCTTTGTAGCATTTTTGTCCTGCTAAAGAAATGGCTAGTGGAAAAGAGTGGTAAAATGAAACACTTGTGTTTACACATGGAAAGCAAATGTAGCTGGCAAAAAACTGTACATTTTGATATGAAAGCTTTTATGAAAAGACAAACTAAAATTAGGTAAGAATAACATTAATGTGAGTTCAGAGGCAATTTAGCTTTGGGTATAAATATCCTTAGTCCTGAGAAAAAAAGAGAACATCTTAAATACTCTTGGCAGCACTGACTTTTTTTTTTGTTGACAAAGTTCTGTAATACCATCCATCCTGTGCTGTAGGGAAGACCGACAGGCTGGAGGTTCTCAGAAGTTCAGCATTTTATTCTTCGTGGCACTTTGGACCTTTTAAAAAACCTTTGCTTTATTATAAACAGCCTGAATCAGTTTTAGGAAGTTTACATAGCCCTCATTACTGTAGTATCATTACCATAATTTATTAGCAAGCATAATCTGTGTATGTCCTGCCCTGGGACTGCCTCTGTTGATTGCTGTTTTATGCTAGTTCCTTTTCCTGCCCCCTCCATGTTTTACTTCTCAAGAAGGCTTTTTTTCTTTCTTTCTTTTCTTATTTTGCACGCCACTCATTTGCCAATTTTGTGTGTCACACTTGTTTCTTGGGTGTTCGTTGTAGCTGTGTTGGTCTAAGGATACAGGCAGACAAGGTTATTTGGGTAAATATGATATCTTTTATTACACCAACTGAATAGTTGGAAAAGGCCAGCAGACTCTCTCTGTCTGCCTGAAGAAGGATGCCTGTGCCCAAAAGCTTGCAAAGAACAATTTTTCCAGCTGTTCAGTTGATCTAGCAAAAGATATCACAATCACCCAAATAACCTTGTTCCTTTCCACTTGCATCCAAGTTGTGATTAACTTAAGCAACTCTTTATTATAATGTGGAGTCTAGCCCATCGTTGGAAGAGTTAACATTTATATTATGTTGTCTAAAAATGGATTCTCACTCTCAGTACTGCCTTAGTAAAAAGGGGCTGTGATAATGGGGAAAGGCTGGATTTCATAACTGTATTACCCTTCTATGCCAGTGGAATTAAACTAGCATAAATCTGGAGTGACCCAACACAGTCGATTTGGCCCAGAGACTTGAAGCTCAGTTCTGCTTATTGAAGATGCAACAACCAAAGGCAGATTTGGATTGTAACCTTAATGGTTTTTTTAGTTTGTCTAAATGCTAAGTTAAGTTTGTTGTTTTTTTTTAGCTTGGTTGTTTAAATATCTTCAGTACTGTAGTTTTTTCTCTAAGGGATTTAAAAAGTTCCTTACCTCTCTCATCTTTATAGTTGGCACACTAACTACATGTTCTGTTTTGTAAGGGTGGCTCTAATCCTGATGGGGATTGTTCTTTTACAGGTAAAATTACTGTGGGAGGAAGTTGAGGCCTCTGTCAACCCCCTCTAGCCTTAGTACAGGCAGAGCTTGGACTTGCAACACAATTGGTTTCTGAAAACCGTGTCTTAAGTTGAAACGTTGTAACTTGGAACCAATTTTTTCCCACAGGAAACAATGTTATAAATGGGGGATTGGTTCCTGAATCAAGGCCCGATACCCTATCTTCAGCAAAAATAACCCAGAATGTTATGCTCAATCAATTATACATGAGTAATATAGTTACATTAATGTATTTATATTCTAAATAGCAATCATATTGATTTGGAAGGATGTCTTTGAGGTGGCTTTGCTGGACTTTTTGAAAGGATCTTGGCTGGAGTTGCCTTAAGAGTCTTGGCTGCAGGTTTTTCTGGAATCTTGTTTGCTTTCTTAAAGAAAGTGTCTAAGGAAGTTTGGACAGATGTTCTCCAGGGGGGTGAGTGATGCAGCAAACTTATTCAGTGGTGTGGCGTGGCATTGGATCAAGCATTGTAAAGTAAAAACTGACATCAGAAAGTTGAAACTGTGTCAATTTATAAATGTTGTAAGTGTGAAACATTGCAACTCGAAACATTGTAAGTCGAAGACTGCGTGTATAGTACTCAGTGTTTTTAGGCTTGAGAAACTCCTCAGATAATGCTCTTAGTTTTCACTCATTTTTTGGTTACAGACAAATAATAGAGCAATTTTTCTGTTGCAGGGAACTCAGAAAATCCATGATATGTCAGAATGTTATGTCAGAACGCTATGGATTCCTATTTGAAACCTCTGGGTTTATCCTGTGAATCATATTGTAAACCTAACATTGCTAGCAGTGCCCCATGGCACCCTCGACAGGATCTCAAGGCACCCCAGGGTGCTGTGGCACCAGGTTGAGAACCGCTGGTGTAGATGGTATTCTGATGGTAGAGAGGGGAATTATCTATTTGGGAGATGGTCCATCGGGGTAATTAGTAGGTAGAGCTAGAAGTGATATCTATACATGATTTTTATATATGAATATTTCTGTATATATTACTGGTTCTGCCTTGTGTTTAATTAGTCACTCAAAGTAAGGTTGTCTTCCGTGTTTTCTTTTTTGTGTAGAGGGCTCCTCACTTTTATACACACCATTCACATCATTTGGTTGGAAAGATTGATATTACAAATAAAGCAACTTAAGTATTTAAACACTTTTATTTAGATTATATTTTGTAGGTGCTGGTTTCCTACAGTTTTTTTGTTTTTAAATAGTTTTTTACGTGTGACAGTTGGATTCCCCCTCCTTTGCATGAAGATGAAACTCACAGTTTAACAAAAGTGAAGTCTTGCATACATTATATGATGATTATTTCAAAATCTCTCCAGTCATTTGTGTATAAATGAACATTGACGATCAACAATTAAATTCTGTTCTGAGGACAGAGTTATCATAAAGAGGAGGCCATTCTTATCTTTTTGGTTAAATTTGTAAAATGGATCTTTCTGCTTATTTCATTTTCAGAACTGTAGCAAATTTGAAATAATTCCAAGCAGTCTTGTATTTTTGTTTTATACACTTCAGGAGACCAGGTCCACCCAGACTTTCAAAAATTCTGTTTTCTGGGTCAGATGGCAGGTTTAGGAAAAATGCTCTGAATTACCCATGGAGGAGACAGTGTAGCTGACATGGGGTAGGAAGTTGTACACAGTCATTTGGGGCAGAGGAATGTTCCTGATTGTTAACACCACTTATGACCAAGTAGTATTGACAGGCTTTGAAATGTGACCACTCTGGTCTTATTCAGGTGAGAAAATGTGATTGTAACACATGAGGAATAGGGAGGTTTAAATACGTTTTTAGGGGAGGGATTTTTTTTTACACTTATAAACAAATGACAGAAGTTTAAGGGAGAATAGTTTCCCTATGCTAGTGGACCATTAGCCAAATTGGTACAGTTTTTAAAGTCACCCTAAAAGAGCTGTTAATAAAATGTGTTTTTACTTAAGAGTCGTGTCTGCACCTCAGTTTTTCCTAAATACGATTTGGTATATTTTCTGAGAAATAGGAAAAGTTTGCGAAAAGTTCCTTTTATTTAGAAAAAGAGAGAATCAAAAAAGCAGTGATATCTGTGTACAATACCATTAACAGGACAATAAACTATTTTTTAGAAGTTACCATAGAAAATAAAATTCCTTTTCACAATTTTCCTTTTTCTTTGCATGTTAACAAAAATAATTTTTTGTTATGGGTGACAATTATTTAACTGTGCAGTAGGAAAAGTCCCAGTTGTTTGGAAATGGGTATGTGGATTTCTCTCAAAACGACTGCAATACAAGAAAGAAATAGCCCACATATGGTATTTAAAAACACTACTGCCAACAACAGCAACAGAAAGAAACAGCTAACAAAATTTAACTCTGACACAGAATGTAGGACAAAGATTTTAAGGCCAGATAGAGCTTGCCGTTGGCCAATTTGACCTCTTTCAAAACAGACCATAGAACTTCCCAGTATTCATGCTTTCAATTTCAGTAGCTGTGTTTAGACTAGAATAGCTGCAGTAGCCACCATCACTTGCTGATGAACCGATACATTTTGGTAAAGCATCCAAGTTTCATTTGAAAATCTGAAAGTGATGGGAATAGTGCCCCAAGCCTTGCTAAAGATTTACAGTGGCTAATTATCACACTGCTAACCTTTTTGGTGTTATTGCTAGTCTGTTTGTATTCAACCTTTTGTCACTATTTTTGGTATAACTGTCTGCTAAATTTAAAAATCTTAATGATCAAATTTCTTTGCCCCATGCTGTAAAAGCTAATTTACACTAACCATTCATCATAACATGCTCAGCAAGCGGCCAAGGTGAAAGTATCTTTTAAAGAGTATTCCTTTTGAAAATTATAGAAAAGCTTCAGTGAATCAGTCAAATATCTCTTTAACGGAGATGCATGTTACTTAGAATTAGATGATGTTCACCTGAAGCAGTAATGTTTTACATATCTGTTTTAAAACAGATTTCAGGGGTGGTACTAGTCTTCATGGATTTCTCTAACACTTTGACACTATGCAGGAGTTTTGAGGTTTTACTAATCTTCCCTGCTGTGCAGCATTGCTGAGTGTATAACTTGTCCTCATATCCTTTCATCTGAGATGTGTAAATGATCCTTCAGAGAAGCTGATTTTAACATTATTTTAGAGAAGGAAAGATTTGCGCTGCATTTCTGTACCATCCTGCATTACACTTAGTATTCATCCCATATAGCTGATCTTTTAGTGCTCAGATCTCCAATTTTTAGGCAGTTCTTTTCCTGCAAAGCAGAGGTGGACAATCTTTTGCTGTTGCAGGCCATAGCTTGCAATGGTGGTTGGTGTTGTGGGCTGCCATTCCCCTCTGCTTTCTCCAGGGACTGTGAGGAGAGGCTGCAATGTGAAAAGAACATCTCTCCACATGGGCTGGAGCAGCTGGAGCTGATTAGTGTGCCATTAGCAAAATACAGACTAGATCAAGCGGTTGGGGAGTCAGTGTACCCTTAGTAAAATGCCAACTGGATTTCATTGAGGGTGGATGGGCCCTGCAGGCTGTAGGTTGCTAACCTCTGCTGTAAAGGAAAGGGCTGCCTGATTAAGCTACTGTAAGGTGGGGAAAATGGGCTTTGTTACATAAAAGGGGCTTCTGTTGACTTGAGAAACCCTACATAAAATTTGGCTGTGAGAGGTTTGAGTGTGGGTATTTTTCTGAGGAGTAGTTTTTTAAACTTTGGGTGCCAGAAATAATATTTAAAATGAAAATGTTGTGTGTCATGAAGATCATAGTAAATCATAGTAAGAAATAGGGTTGCAGACCTGTTTGTTAGGGCTATCTATATAGTAGACATAATTTGGAAAAATACACTGTTATTTTTCAGTACACAGTATGTGTATGTGTGCTTAATGAGAAGAATCTCCTTTAGACTATGTGGAATTTTATTTGACCCTAGTATTTAACATGAGATAATGTGTGAAAGCTAGGTGACTGTATCTTCCTTTCTTCTTCTACCTTGTCTACCAATTTCCATTAACGTTTGCTTGTAAAATACATAGGCATAACCTGAGAGCTAGGCATGAAATAGTAGTTTTTAAATCTCCTGCATGATAACCTTTAGAAATAAGTTTCTGTACCAAATCAGAACAGAGAAGAAATATTTTTTTTAAACATTTTGGATATTCAAATGAAGGCTACATTTGTGATTGACTCAACTTGACCAGTGGAATTGACAGTGAAGTTTTTTAAAAGTCGACTCAAAAATATTTATCAACTGTCCAGAAAACTGAAAAATTATTTAATTCACATTTTCCCTCTGAAGGTTTTGATGAAACCATATCTTCTTGCTCAAAATTGTGTTTGTTTTAGTTGTTAGTTCGTTTACATGTATTTATGTCTTTAATGAAGTTACTTTGACATTCTGACTCTGTTGGTCATGAAACTAGGACTCTTAGGGTCTGATAGCTGGGATGCAATAGCACACTAAATGTGCAGACTAGCACCTAAGTGTGAGTGGATAATGTAGATTTGCCACTTCTTTAAAAAAAAAAAATGCCAGGGCTGCCACTGGTCCTTAAAAATGCCTGGTCTCTATATATAACAAGGAACATGTTAATAGTCCCAGCAGTGTAGCCAGATCCAGAAGCTGCCTTTTAGTGAAGATGTTCTTTGCAGTTTCACTTGTATATTTTACTTATTGTTTCAAATGTATGTTGTGTCATTAGTTGCTGAAAAAGTGGGTATTGCATTTTTTTCTCCCAAGGTAGCTGCATGATATTGACTGGTGAATAGTTTCTTTTGAGTTTTGTGATAAAGTCCTTTTGAATGTAAGATGATATGTCAGAAGTATGTCAAAAAGGGTCTCTTTTCAAATTGTAATATCTGAAACATTTGACAATATGTTTTGTTCAGCGCATCCTAATTCTTAGATTTGCTTATCTTTTTCTTGTATTTACACAGTACACTTTTTAAATAGGTTTATGTAACATATCTGGAATTTACATTAGAAAAAATTAGGGGTACACCAGTGTAGATTTTTGGGGGCTGATGCCAATATTTAAGGAGGTATATCAGCAGATACAGATCCAATATCCAGTACAGCTGCCTCCAGGTGGTAAGTCTGGTGTGGTGGAAGGGGAGGCGGGAGGGAAGAGGCATGGGGGGGGCAGATCAACACCCCGTGCAGTGAGGGAGGGGGCGGGGGCAGGGGCAGGCACTGCCCAGGGAGCGTGGAGGGGAGGTGTGTGGGACGGAGCCATGGCTCATGGGGTGGGGGCAGCTCCCACCTCTGCTTACCCCCACCGAGGTGGGGGGCATGTGCTCCTGGATCTGTGAAATGAGATGGGTAGCAGCTGTGAGGTGGAGCTGGAGCCAGCACTGCATGGTTTTTCTCACGGGCCACTGGGCTCAGAGGAGGCTCTGGTAGTGCTGGGAGGAGGCTGTAGCCACCCCAAATTTCGCTGCAGCACCACTGTCCACCACCCAGCACAGCTGCAGCTTTTCCCGGCACTTGGGTGGAGGCAGGGTGCTGAGCCAGGGCTGCGTCAGGAGGCAGCACAGGGCTGGGAGTCCAGATGCAGCAAAATTTGGGGTGGCTGCAGCCTTCTCCCAGCGGCTCTGGAGCCCATTCCAAGCCTAGCCCCCGGCAAGAAAAGCCCCATGCAGCCCTGGCTCCAGCTCTACCCTGCAGCTGCAGCCTGCCCCATGCTGCGCAGATCCACAGGCACGTGCCCCCCTCCCTCCCAGGGTGCAGGCAGCAGCAAAATCTGCCCCCACCCCGCAAGCCGCTCCTCCGCCCTGTGGCCCCCCACATCCTGGCTGGACAGTGCCTGCCCCCTTCCTTACCATGAGGGCCTTGATCTGCCCTCCCCCCATTCCCCTTCTCTCCCCACTCCCAACTTATCAGCTGGAGGGGGCTCTCCATGCTGCTGGCTCTATTCCATGCTGTGCTGTGGTTGCGCTCAGCGCAGGCATTTATCAGCTACAATATTGACCCCTATTGCGCCAAAATCCATTACAGACAATTTTCTTCATATGGGTACCAATCTGAGATTGGACTGATGCATCAGTGCACTTCTAGAAAAATTACACTGGGTTTGTCTTTCCTTTTGACTGCAGTGGCCTTTGGATCAATTTCTGTGTGTCTGTTGGGTTTGGGTTTGTTTCATGTTGTGGTACTCATTTACAAAGTGCTAAAAGGATTTCATCAAAATAACCACTGTCCATTATTACAACTTGAATCACTTATATGAATGTACAGGCATACTACAAAGCAGAATATCCCTCAAAATTATAAATCAAAATGTGTGATAAAGTGCTTATAGTGAAGTAGCTGTGCAACTTCTTTCTACTTGAAACATACATTGACAGTTGTTACAGGACTTGACAATACACTGCTGTAGTAACATAAAAAGTAGTTGATTTATAGTTTGTTGCTCCATATGCCTGTTGAGTTTGGAAAGACCATTTCAAATGTTTATTGCACTCATAGTAAATGACAGCAGTGAGCTCTTCTTGCAACTACCCAGGCCATTCCATCTACTATTGCATGATATTTTGAGCAGACTTTAGTTATTAGAGTGTGGAGGCTTGATAGTAGCCTGTTTTACAATATCTTGTAATTAATTGTCTGTTCAAAATGTCAAGCTCAGCATTTGGTGAATTTCTAACTGCTTTGAGTACTGATGCACAATAGCAATGGCTTCTCATTTCTCAGATGATGCAGTGGATGGTGCATCTCCTAAAAATCTACACTACACTTTCATATTTGAACTTTATCTGCTTGTCAAATCCTGTAACTGCTTGGTAGGTATTTCTCCTTTAGGGGATACCTACCTTATTTTTGTTTCCCTTTTCAGAAGTTACTTGAAACTGGCTATCAATTTCTTTAGGCATGTTTTCTGCCCTTCTGGCTTGCCTGTGTTTCACATTCTGCATAGAAGTTGATCTGTGGAGATTCCCTATTTCTGCAGTCCTCTTTGCAATGATTATACTCCTGAAAAGCTGCGGTCTGTTTTGTAGATATTTAAATATAAGTAAATGTTCTGTATCAGTGACAAGACTAATGTCAGCCTAGATACGGTTTCCTTTCGTAGCCAGCAAGGAACTATTCACTCTCTCTTTCTAATGGCAGATACATCATTATACTTAGCTTTTAAGATCTGTTTTTGTTGGAGGATAGATATTTGAATGTGTGTTGGTTGTATCCTGTTAGACATTTCTCTGTCTGTACAGCGTTGCATATTAAGTTCAGATACTTTGAAGTGCTAAGTTATCATTTCAGGAACATGGAACCGTACAGGGCTTCACATGAGTTTCACAAGAATAAACACAAGCACCAGCACCATGACAATAAGCAAGAAATTGAGTAGCAAGTTGAGTCCTCGGTTGTTAGCAAGATCCATGCTCTTCACAGGTCTGCCCTCTTGTGCTTGCAACTGACTCTTGATTGGAGTTTTCGCTGGTTCAGCTTCTGTAGTAAACAATTGGAATTCACATGTATTTCATCCTGTATCCTTAGTTTTCTACCTGTATTCAGTTTTTCTGCTACCTAAGAGAAAATTGTTCACAGTAACTAATGACTTAAAATAAACTTTAAACAATTTTGCCAAGCTTTCTAAGCCAGTTGCTCTTATCTCCTATATCTTCATAACTTGTGAGGAACTGATCAGTTCTAAAAGAAATTGCTTTTATGTACCGTTTGACTATATTTGAAAATGAAAGAATGTGTGTGGCGCTCTTTGAGGAGCTTTGGAATGTACTGGTTTATAGCTCCTGAAAGACCAGTAACAAGTAGCTTAAAATTTCTTTGTTTCAAAAAATGTAAGAATTTTCTAACATGGGTTAGATGCGTCTTTGCAAATTTGAAAATTCTCTGTCCTTCTAGGGTTTTCAGCATTGTGGCACAGTCAAACCCTTTGTGTTTTGCCAACATCGTGCTGCATAAGATTTATTGCTGTTTTTGCAAAAGCCTTATTAAGAATCTGGATTGAGTTGGCAGACATTGCAATTTAGTGCTTTTAATAGCACATACGCAATAGTTTATTTTAAAATAATAACTTAGCAATTGTAAAAACAAAACAGAAACAAATAGGACTGTTCAACACAGCCTACTAAATACTGCCAAAACTTCATTTTGAAGATAAGCCAGTTTTCCCCTCTGTTTCACCAAACAGGAAGGAATTTTGCTTTTATTTGTTCAATATAGAATTTCAAAAGATATTAGTTTTCCTGTATCTTTTTTAAATGGCATAACTGATTTTATAAAATAAACAGTCTGGCAAAGCTACGTGCCAAAAATAATAAAACACATTTTTTGAGTCTGCGTTTAAACTTTTAAAAATATTTTAGGAGATTACTAACAAAGACACTGCTTTTGATTAGAAGCTCCATACGTATTATCAATACATTTTTTTTTTCTATTGTGGTTATAGGAAAGATTAATTGATCTCCTCTTTCCCTAAAAATGAAAATCATAGTCCTTTGATTTATACTTACTTACGTTCTCAGTTTCCAGCTAAAAAATGCTAAATCTATTACAAGCTGAAGAGTGGGGAAGAGGAGATTAAAGGTAAAAAAGTTCTTTGTAATAAGGCATTAAATGGGATTCTCAACGTTTCTAGGAGCACTTTACAAATATTTTTCTAGTGGGCTAGATTCTGGTAGTAATATTTACCAGTACAAAGCTGTAGCGCTACTATACGTTAAGTGATGGAGTCTGGTAATGAAAGCTTCTGTGGCCCAAATAGGTTCCAATAGGATGTTAATAGATCTGCCTGTAGATGAATTTGGAATGAATTTATTACTGTAAGAAGTACTGTATAAACAGATCTATTTCTTGTACTTGGTTTGGTTTCTGGCATGTAAAGTAAAGCTAAAAAGCATTTCTGCTTTTAAATTAGTAAATTGAAGGTGAATGAAAATGTGGCTGGCATTTATGCTGCTATATGTGCTTGCCCAAAAAGCTATGTGCATTTTGGTGTATGCGATGCACCATGTACCTATGCAGCATGGATTGTTCTGCAGTGAGAGTCATTAGTGTTACATAGCTTTGCAAGAGCAGTACTAATTAGGTCTATTCTATACTTGCCTTTTCATCATAAAACTTCTCAATAAGAGGTTTGGCTTTCCTGGTAGGAGCAATAATAATGGTTGTAAAAGTAATACAGGTTAAAAAATACGATGGTTGTCTCTACCTGCTGGTTTTTAAACTGTCAGTATTTTTGTTACCTTGCTGCCCAGACTTGCTCTGTCAGAAAACTAATGCTCAAATGGTTGTATCCTCAGTTGTTGTAAAATGGCTATAAACAGAGGTCCTACAAAATAGAGTTTTTGTTTTGTTTTGTTTTGTTTTTTAGGGAAGACTAATTTTGATTCCAAGTATGTATGATGGTGGTGGACCTTACAGATCATTGGGTTCAGTGGAAGAGAGAACTTTCATTGAACCCAGTGATCTGTAAGGTCCCTTCTAGCCCCTAACAACTATGAAGTCCAAGGGGATTGGGGACAGTTAGAAGTTCAGAACTTGTATTTTCCTTTTTGGGAAGACTGATCCAAGATTATTTCTTGTTTGTTTTCTTGTCATGTATGTGTAAGAAACTAGCAAAAAATTGTGTAGCATGTAGTGAAGCAGAATAGAGAAACGAAAACTTAATCCGAAGTCATCTAAAGTATTAAGAGTTTTTTTTATTGTGCCTTTAAAAAGGGAGTGAACTGTATTCAAATGCACTCTATTGTTTGTATACAGTGATTGGTGAGTGTAATTTAAAATACAGAAATATAAAGAACCAAAAGTTTTGTGTTGATTAGTTTCCTATGGTTTTAATTCATAGTAAATGTTAGAACTAAGTCTTGTGTTTCTAATTTGCATTTGAACATCTTATTTGTGAACTAATACAGTCTCTTCTATTAGTAAACAGAAATAAAATACTTTAAAGATAAATATACAAAGAATGAGAATTGTAACCAAATGTGCACAAAAGCTTTATTTTTATCTCTGGGTTTCATTGGCATTAGTTTTGTAAAAGAAAAAGATAGCAAAGTTAGGGCATTTCTTTTTATCAGCAGAACCCTAAGGCTGTTTATACACGTGCTCTGGGAGTGGGAGATAGGTGGAGGGAGAGGAGGGTTAATTTGAGTAGCTGTCCAAATCTAATTAAAGTACCCAGAGTGTCATGTGTATCAGCATCCCCATGCTGAAAAATGATGGCAGGGGTGCTTTAATTAAAGCACCCCTGCTGCCATTTTTCGGCATGGTGATGCTGAGATGCTGTAATCTGCTGGAGCTTGGTAATTACCATGCTCCAGCTGACTTCTTTAATCGACAGTTTTTTTCACTTGATTAATCAAATCTGCTCCAATACATTGTAATTACAGTGTGGCAGAGCAGCCTCGCTGCACATGTATAGGCATCCTGTGACATAAATGTAACCTTACAGTACACGCTACATATGAGCATTGTTGTCAAATGGTTGGAGGGTTTCCAGTTTCTTAAGTCTTGGGATTTGTTTGTTTTAGTATAAGCGAACAATGTCTCAATTCCATGTTTCATTTTTATGATTGAAAAAAACAAATTGGCTCTAGTGGAGCTTATCCCAATGAGGTGTTTCCTGAATGTACAGATTGCCACTTTGGGAGTGTTTTCTTTTGTTTTGTATACAAAAGCCCAACAGTTTTGTTTTAAAATAAATTTTCAGTACTAGTTATTTTCAGATATAATACATTTTAAACGTCACTGAAACAGACTGAAAACTGGAGCCTTCCAGCACAAACGGAAAGGGAGGCTTTCAGCATTAAATTATATTTCTTCTGCAGTAGCAGCTTAATGTGTATTAGATGCTTTGCAATAAATAGTTATTCTGGACTTACTAACATCTTTTCCTGGATTTGTGGGGCACAGTGGAAAGACATGAAATTGAAAATGAGACCACTTACAGTTTTAATTGTAAACAATATTCTCGTTCCCTTTAAACTAAATTTTTAGAATTCATTGTAATTCTTCTGTTATACTTTCACATAAGCGTATTCTAAATAACAGTAGCAGAACTTTTTTGCAAGCAAGAATTATAAGGATATACTTTTTAGGATTAATGCTTTCCTGCATTTGGCTTTACCCAAAATCATGTGATACTGTGTGGAGGGGATACGCAGATACCAGGGTGTTGTTTGAAACAGTTTTTTCACATGTCTTCAAGGGCAGATTTAGGATTCTAATATGTTCTGCAAGTGCAAGTGGCAGAATTTGCAGCTGTCCTTAAATGAAGGTCATAGGAGCCAGAGGATTGCTGAATCTTATCAGTGACTGTTGTAATCATCATACAGTAGCTTTGTTTATTGCCTATAGCTGTCATACACATTCTGTGGGTTTGCTGTCTACATAACTGTTGCCTTAAACATGCAAGGCATACCCATGTAGTCTTACATTACACCACATGCTATGCTGCTGCTTCGTTCTTTCTGACTTCCCATTATTCATGATCATTAATCCGTATTCCTGTAAAAAAACATTCAGTTCTGGGGCAAGCTGTTCTTCCTTAGTATCTGCGTGAAATTCCCTTTGACATCTCTTTTATATTAACAGCAGTTGCACACCCAGATGGGAGTAGAATAGATCCTTTTTAAAAACCAATTCTATTTTTCTGACTGACATCTTTGGATCCTGAGCTTCTCTGACTCTGAATGCTGCTGGTATAAAGATTGTACATATTTAAATATGGACAGCAGTGAGAGGGCTTCAATCTAACACACAGTTGTTGATTTTATGAATTACTTTTGTCATGACACTGATTTTAACCATTCAGTGATGTAAAGTTTTACTGCATCAAGTAAGCTTCTGTAGTTTCATTTTTGCTCGTAGGAGATCACTGAATTCTCTCTTTTTTTTTTCTAGAGATTCTCAGACTTTAATAGTGCAGCCATATATTTAGAAGGATTTTTCTGTAGATTGCTTTTTTGTACCTGATCATGTGGGCCTCTTCGTATAGTTGCATACCTTCTCTTTGGATAATTATTAATGGGGAAATATTTGTGTTTGGCTGTTCCCTAATGAACATGAGCAGTTAAAAAGAAGGTCTTGGTTTTGCCTATGAACAACACCTTCGTGGGCTACTGCTGGCCCATGGTCTGTGGCTCTTCTGCTCTGTTTCTGATTCCTGCAAAATTTGACTTACATGGCAAAAAATCAAACTTCCTACAAGACGGATGTGTGACTTTTATTCAAGATAGCCCTGTTAGAAAAATATACTACTTGTAGACCAGCTAGCTAATGTCCATCCCTTATGCATGTGTGTGAACACTAAAGGCTAGGAACAGAAGTTACACTCAAACCGGTATAAGTGATCAGAAACCTGTTCAAATCTGTAACACAACAGAAGTTCAGTGTACATAAACCGCTTTCAAAAAGTCCAAAACAGTTTAAGATAAGCCTGGATGGATATAATATCAGACTTAATTGATTTAGTTTAGATCAGTTTATTTAACTTCTGTCCCAGATCCCCTCCAGATTCAAGTTATGAATATGTCTAGTATTTTAGGTGATTGGAAGTGGGAATTAAAGTACACTGGCCAAAAAGTAATATTTCTGTTTGAATATTTTAGTTGATTTGGCTGAAACTCTAGTTAAGTAGCACAGTGACCTTCCCAAGTCCACGGAAAAGGCAGTAGTTTGTAACATTCACAAAAGATGCCCCTTGACAAGACAAACAAGTAAGTTAGCTCATGCGCAGCATTTTAACAGTCAGCTTTAAATCACTATTCAAGACAGAATTGGGTTTAATATGTTTTACAGTAGCTAGTAAGGGTGGTGTGGTAGTTGACAGACAGCTCTAGTCCAAGTATCAGGCCCTCTCCCAAAGGTATCCTTGCATTGGGAGTTTCTTGTGAGGTTCTTTTCTCCCCCTTTGCGGTTTTCGGATAGGATAGCGTGGAGGGGATCATTCAGAAGCAGCGGAACTTCAAAGAAGCATCACAATGATACAGATAAGCAAGAGGCAAATTAAAATAAGAAAAAAATTTACAAAGAGATCCCGGAGCCTTTGGCGTGATTGTGGGTTCACCTCAATAGTTGAGGCTCTCCGCAGGGCAGAGCGTGTTATGTACTGGACCTTCTCCATGGCAACAGCAAAGTGGAGGACACAAGCCAGAAGATTTAGAAGTGCAGGTAAAGAACAGAAGTTGTCAGGAGCAGTGCAAAGTGCTTATTATCTTCTCTTTTTGGTTTTAAAGAATCTTTGTGGAGCTGGGAAAGCAGGAAAGTGAAGAGTTAGAAACACAAAAGTAAAGTGTTTTGATCAGTACGAGTGTAGATTGTATTACAGTTGTGATAATGCCTGAAAGGAAAAAGTGAGGTTACTTTTTATGAATATTTTCACTTGGAAAAGTAGTTTTAAAGATAAAGGAGGTTCACACACAAACTACATGTGTAGCCTTATCCTGAGAGGTACTGGACACTTGCTGCTTCAGGGTGATGCTTTATTATAAAATGGGTGTTGGGGATACTCCACATTTCCCAGAATTAGATCTGTAGCTTCTAATCTTGTTCCCTTCAGAGCCTGTGAAAATATTTCCAGTTTATTCACTGGAGTTGGTTTGGATCCATCAAGAGACACTATGGTCTTGTGATCTAGATTTTGTTTATGGCTTCCACTGACTTGGGAAAATCCATTTAATTTCTCGATAGCTCAGCTTGGACAGAGAAGAAAATAGGTCCTTGTTGATGAATTTCCATTTAAAAAGAATTGACAGTATAAGAAAATGTATGCATTCTTTGATTTGGGAAATTACTTTCTTAGAGGACAGAAATAAGATGCCCTAGATGTATTAACATGCACTAAACCATTTCAGACCCAGAACTGTGGAGGGAAAAAATGTAGCTGTAATTTCTTAAATCAGAGAAACTGTTTTCATACGTAGTGATTTTAGGGGAATACAAGTAATCTGGTGTTTAAAAAAATAAATGCAAAAAAAGTCCCTGTTCTTTGCCCCTCCACCCCAACTGTTCAGGGCAATGGTAGGGGTTTTTTGTTTGTACAGTCCCTAGCAGAGTCATCACTTCCCTGACACAAAATGCTTCAGCATTAGTATTCATTATTCTTTGTCTCATACATTCCCTACCAGAGCTTACTCTTGTAAGTTTATATCAAATCATATTTAACAGGTATTCTTCCTCAGTCTATGCCCTGAAATAAGTCATGTAGACTTCTACCATCCTTTCTACAGGGAACTGCCAAAGGATGAAAAACTAGTACGTGGCAGTTACCTACCATCCCACAAATGGAGTAGCCATTCTGATTGAACCATGGATTCTACAAGGTGATGTTGAGTCCATGTGCAGATCTGACTAAAATACCTCATAGGGAATAGCATGTGGTTAGACTCAAAGTTTTTTTTTAAATATATTTTTCTTCTAAGCCTCTCCACAGGAGAAGGCAGTAAGTGGCTGTCAGTTTGCATGTGCTATTATTAAAATGTATGCCATAACCAGGACAGTTCCACTTGCAGTACTAAAGACTGCAAGAGCACTTTTAAAAAGTGACTTCTAAAAGAAACCAGATTGCACATAAATATTTGAGTATCTTCTGTTGCTTCAATATCATAATATCTCTTTTGAAAATTACTTGGTTTTTATTTGTTTTACTGATTTTGAATTTTCAGTTGATCTTAATATTAACACAAACAGAACAACACCAGGCATATATTTTTGTTGCCACTATTTTTTTTCAACCCTGCTTGACTCTGAAGTGATGAAAGCAGGTATAACAAGTGTTTGCCTGGAATATTCTTCTTGCTGTCTCTCAGGCCCACACACAAGAGTTCTCATGACTCAAATGAATACTTATCCATTCTCGTAACCTAATACGGACTGAGCTGCTTTTAAATGTTTATCTTCCAGGCAAGATTTGTAGTAGTTACAAATAATTTTGTTCATGCAGCCCATGAGGTTGACACTTCACAGGCAGCCTTATTTGCTGGGAATGACTTCATCACAAATTGCTGTGTTACTAAGAAAGACCACTCGCACTGAGTAAAGACCCATCACTTAAGGTTGTTGGGTTTTTTTTGTTTGTTTTATAAAGCTAAAAGTAATATCCACTGTTGGAAGGGGTGAAAAAATTGCTAAGTGAAATCAGCCCTGGCTTTGTTTTTCATATATAGCACACTGCCAGCATCAAGGGGTAAGTGGGAAAGTGGTGTAAGCGAAATATATGTTTTTGTGTTTTAGAAGAAATATATGTTGCATGATATGGGGGGTGGGGGGGCAAAAGGATGCCGGGTATTCAGAATACAGTAAATAGCATTATCATGCAAGGTTTTGATAGAACCAGGAAGTAATCAGCAGTAGTTCTGAATGCTGCTTTCTCTACTCGCCCACTTTCTCTGGTGGGAGAGCTTATCTGATCTGCATATAGTTATGCCCATATGTCTAGGTTTCAGCACGTGTTTCTTTACAAGGTGCATGGTTTCAGCTAGCAAACACATACCTTCTGCCTTAATCCTCCATGACTGTTGTCACCCACCTAAGTGTATATAAAGAGAGAAAGATTCAGTAACACAGCTGTGTGGATAGCTGACAAGGTCAAAAGGAACAGTTGGGTATATTGGTGCCATGAAGAATTGTTTAATTAAAGGGAAGGCCTCCATTGGCTGTCAAAAACAGCATTAGAGTGAGACCCAACTGGCACAAACATTTTTGTTCAATGTCCAGAATTGTGCATGTCACACTTTTATGCACACACAAGAGTTACAAGCCTCTCTGAGCCAAAGTGCAGCAAGAGGACAAACTATATTTGATAGCTCCGTAAACCAGGTAACCTTGTATCCTATATAATGACGTGCCAAGTATTGCACAACCCCTCCCCCCAACAAAAAATCCTTTGACTGTATTACTGTATGGATATTTTGTGTGCTAGAAACACCTGAATGGTGCAAGATAAGGCCTCATTACCTGCTCTACATGCCATTATGTGTGGGGTCCTATCTGCATGAAGTCTTACAAGAAACCACAATCACTACTTGGTTCTTTGCTGACATCATTTTAGTGAATGTGCATGGTTATTTTTATCCGTGTTTCTGAATGTCCTTCATACTGAGAGGTGGTATCTGAACATAGTTTAAAACTGTAGGCTGTATTCATTCCTGGTGTAACTGCATAGATTGCATTGGAGTCATACAGAATAAATTTGGCTCTGTTGGAAATGCCACAACAATTTTAGATACCGCCTGTTTCCTGTCGTATGTCTACTAAATGCAGCAATGATATCAGTGAAGTAAAAGGTATTTGACACATGCAATTTGTTGGTATCTCACGGGATAGTTAGGCATAGAAAACCACCACCAAGTGATGAAGTAATTAATGGTATTTTTATTTCGATACCATGCATCCCAAAAAGCAACATCAGCCACTTGGTTTTTGAAAAACAGCCTCTTCAATAAATTTTAAGTACCATTGTGCATTTATGTTTTTGGAAACTCTTGCTTAAAATAGTCCATCACAGAACATTTGTTGGATTAGTTACTCTTCTGCATGTAAAGATAAGTTCAGGTTGGAAAGAACTAATGAGGAGGATTTGTGTTTGCTGCTGGGAACCTAGAACTTTTTTCAACCAAAAGAGAGCAAGGCCACTATCTAGGTCTGCCCACTATGGGGGGTGTCTGTGCAGATTGGGGACCTTCTAGACGCAGGTATGCAGTACCCAAACCCAAATATGGAACAAAATTTATCATTCTGGGCCTGCAAGGATCTGTGGGTAGTATGGAGACCTAACTGTTTTTCCTCCTTAGCTAAAGGAGTTTCCCCTATAGTTACAGTTACTTAAAATTAAGATCATTCTACAATATGTTGACTCATTTTGAACACCTTAACACTGTTTGAGGTACCTTTCCATTAACTGTACCGAACCTTTTGTCACCTTGAAATCTCTCCTTTATTCAGCCTGGGAAAGAGGAAGAATGCTAATTCATTAGACCACTAGAGGTCCTTTGTCTACTGTTTTTATGCTCAGTTCAGTTCAGTGGAACAAGTGTTCAGTGTTGCTGGAGAGACTTGTGAGAGCACTCAGCAATATTTGAACAAATAATCTGCTTGTAGTCCACTGCTTTTTTGTTTATTAACTGAATTCCTGTACATCCACCCACAGTATGGAAGTTCTCCTGAACACTGTTCCAGCTTTAAGTACTGTGGTTCAAGTTTTTGTTTTTTACTTTGACTGATTCAGTTGTCTTGGATAGAGAATGGTACCAGGTGGTGATCTTGCAGACCCTGCAGAAAGAGACGACTCTTGGGGCACACTAAAATATTCCTACATAGTGAGTGGTTGGGATAAATATGAGCATTACACAGAAAAAGGGATAGAGAGAGATCAGTTAAGGTGGTAACTGAAGCATTGGGAAGAAATGGGGTAGTTAGTGTTTTATGATAGATATGTGGTGGACAGGAAGATAGACATTTGCTGAGTGAGCAGGTGGGGGAATTGAATTAAAATAGAACATGGGGTTCAGGAAAGGAGAAATGGAAATGAATGGCAGGGGGATAGAAGGGCAGAAAATGAGCAGAGGAGGAAAGGGAAATGAGGAAAATGTGGTGCAAACAAATGAGAAGGACTGGAAATGGCACCCCATGTCTGTCACATTGAGAAATAACTTTCTGCAGAAGAATTCACTTAGATAATTGGGGAAAAAGCTGGTGCTGAAAGGAAGTCAAATGGTCAGTTGGGAAATGATCTAAAATTAAGATTGGAAGGGAAAAGATAAACTGTATCTTGACACTGACATGGTCTTTGTATCTGTCATTTGTACAATTTCACGGGGAGAACTTACACTCAATCAGAAGGTTTAGAATCAGATTTTACCCCTACCCTGCTTTTTAATCAATTTTTGTATTCTTGTTTTTTATATTTTATACCCTTGCTTGAGACCAAAAAGTTTGTACTTTTTCCTGAATTTCAGGCTGATGAGAACAGAAAAGTTTGAGGAGTCTAGAAATTACATTAATGAACATCTTATAGCATATGTGCCTAATTACTTGCTCAGTTTTTAATTGAGCATGCATCTTAAGTTATTGTTTTTATAAAGTAACCACACTTTCAACTTCTTTATACTGTTCATAACTGAACAAAATAAGCCAGGATCTCAAGTCATTGGAATGATCTATACTGAGGCACAATAGGTTATTTGGGTTAAATTTCTAACTCTCCCACAAAATCCCTGTGCAACTTGGGGGAAATTGATCATTTTTTGTATGTATCAGTTCCCCATCCAAAATCTGGAAATATCATTGCTTGCTTCCCCCGTGCCCTCTTCTTGGTGTAAGAGGAAGGAGCTCTTTCTCCTCTTGGGTTTTAAACTTCTCTTTGCTTTCGTAATACTAATTGACAAAGTAATAGGAAGCATATAGGTCAAATCTGAATCAAGGCAAAAGATTCAAGTAATGCAAATATATATTGCCACTAGGATGATGAAAAAGTAGGTTGGGGAAAGGAGAAGGAATAGAGTGGGCACAGTTCAGGTGCTTGCACCAGATATATCTGCAGAAGTTTACATATGGTATAGAAGATGAGATGGACTCTGAAGCTATTTTAGAGCACCTCCTTGTAAGGGTCTTTCTAGCATGTGTTTTTGTTTGATCGAACTCCATTAAAAGCAAATAAAACTAAAGGTGCCCTTGTATCTTTGTAGTTTGCTAATTCTATAATTTGAAAATTTCAGTAAAAAAAAGAATTCTGCTATTTGATTATAGGCCCATCCTGGTAAGTCTCACATTTACTCTGTGTGTGTGTGTGTGTGTGTGTGTGCGTGTGTGCGTGCGTGCGTGCGTGCGTGCGTGCGTGCGTGCGTGCGTGCGTGCGTGCGTGCGCGCGCGCGCCCTTCAGAACCAGCAACAAAGGGTTCAGTTGGGCACACGTTGCATACAAATCCAGATATCTGGGTGTAATTTCATCAGTGCATACAGCTCTCAGAAATGTTGATAGACATTGTATATGGGTATCAACAGTGATGAGGAATATTTCTATACATTAGAATGCTGTATTCTTACATAATTTTCCTGAAACTTTAAACATGCTTATGTGATGAGGTCCATGTGGATTACAAAAAATCCACTTTTAAAACAGGGATAGATTTAGATTTTAAGTACACCTTTGTGTACCCTTTCCTATGGGACAGTTCTTTTCAAGTTTCTTGATCTGTGCAGTCATTGGCATTTGTGCTTCTCATAAACATAAACTTGACAACTATTTATGTGTACCAAAAGAATAGTTCATTTTTAAACTCATTTGCTTTACTTTTTAAAGGATTTCTATACACATTGTTTATAGAGGGCCAAATTTAAGAGGATTGCTTTTCAAAATACTCTGATTTCTTTTTTTGTATGGTGCTCAAGCACTCGGGGATGAATTAGGGAGTTGGCTTCTTGGGATGACAGTATTTGATGATTTTAGCAGAATTATCCTGCGTAGTAGTAGGAATCCTCTGGGTCAAGTTCAGGTGCCTGTATTGGCCAGCAAGAATAAAAAAAAAAGTCTTAAAAAGATTACAAAATGAAGATCTATGATTCTTAATCTTTCGCACTAGAACTTTGGATACTGCACCTTGATGCTCCTTAAACTACAGTCAAATATACTGAACAACAAAAAAAAGTTTTCTTTTGGCACAATGTAAGTGAACCAACTTTTTTCCAACTTAAAGAAAGCTTACTTTTCTAGGATTTGATGTTGGGTTGCTAATGGGAAGGTAAATAAAAAAATCAATATGAAACCTTACATTCTTGTTAAAATTTTAATAATAAAAAATATAAAAATTCAGTTTATATTAAAAAAAAAAAAAAAAAAAAAAGTGAAAGTACTGGGCAGGAATGATAAGAGTTTTAACCTTGTTGTGTAATACTGTTTGTTTAAACCAGGGGTACCCAAACTACAGTATGCATACTACACGAGATATCTCCGGGGGGTACATGGGAGAAATTGTGTAATGGTGGATTTAATTTTCATTATAATAATAATTGGCATTTAAGGGGTTAAACTATAAAACGTATGCTAGCAGGGTACACAAGCATCTAGTAAATCTGGAAAGGGTCCGCAATAATTGGGGAACGTTTGGTTTAAACTATTCAGCCTGGGTTATTTGAAATACTAAAGCACCATATTAAAAAGAGAGAATACATAGGGTTTTCTAATTTTTTTTTTAATTTTTATCCCTTGCTCTATGTTTTCCTGTTCTGGAATTGGAAATGAAATGCCTTCATCATTTAAAAGATAGCTATTGATGTTTTATTTACAATGGTATGAATAATATCGTCTGTTAAATTTGAGTAGAGCAATTTAAGAAACTGGAACTACAGTAGATTGTAATAAAAAAGAGAGATCCCTTACCTCTGATGATGATTATTAGTGAATTATAGAATTGTGTGCTCTGAGCTGTGGGAAATTGTCTGGAGTTCTCTGGCAACTTGTCCGAGTCTGTCACCAAGTTTGTGGGAACAATTGAAGTAGGTGGAGAAAAAATAACAAAAGTTTCAGAGGCCGGGCTCATGATGTCATGCAGGAATTCAGAAGTTGTGATTGGTTGCGATACAGTCTTCCAAAGCAGAGAAGTTGCTCATCTAAACTTGTTATAGCAGTAACACATTAAACACTGGAAATATTTCTCCTTTCTTAAAGGGCCATGAGGGAGAAGGGGAAGATGTAAGGTGCTGTTTACTTAAAGTAAATAGCAGAAAAACAGCTTGAATCATTATGAAACCAAAGAACTTAAGTAGTGGCATGATTCAGTGGAATGGCTGGAGGCTAATATATAGTTTTTCATGGAGTTGTGGCAAATATAGAAGTCTTAAAATTCTTTGATATGGTAAATTTGCTGCATCAAGGGCAAAATGTTTGTTCATAATAAAAGCCTGCCTCTACTGAGAATTTGGTTGATACAAATCATTCCATTTCTTCTAGGTCTTGAGGATTATAATGCTGCTTATTTGTTACATGTGGGTTGGTGTTATGGGGTGAATAGCTTTTGTATTATGCAGCTGACGTCCTGGGGCATACAGTAGATTAAAGACTATCATCTTGTCTCTCCAAGATGTTTCTTCCGTACCACAGGGGAGTCTATGCAATTTATACCGCATCTCAAGATTGCCACATCCAGAGATTAGATTAAGATGTGGGATTTTGCTCTAAATAATCTTGGATGATTTTAAGCTTCCAAATTATTCCCATGTGATTGAAAAGATTTGCCACTCTAGCCTCTTCCCTAAATCAAGTATTTTGTAAACAGAAGTCATTATCATGTAGTACACAGACAGTGGGCTGGATGCTGTACAAGCAAAAAGGGAGCACTGGTTCTTGGCCTACAGGCCATGCCCTGGCCCATGAAGTAGAAACCAGATACACAACATCCTGGAGGACCAAGTGGAAGGTTTGGTCTTACAGCATTTTTGGGCATCTATCTATACACGAGTGCCGAGGCTGCTCTAAAGCACTGAAATTCCAGTGTGTTGGAGCAGACTCTATTACTCAAGTCTGCTGGAGTGTGGTAATTGCTGTGCTTCAGCAGCCTCCTAAATGCTGTGTATCAGCGTCCCCAAACTTAAAATGGCAGTGGTGGAGCTTGAACTAAAGCTCATCAAATGTGCTTTAGTTCAGGTGCCCCTGTTGCCTATTTTAAGTGCAGGGATGCTGATACAGGAGATGTGACAGTGCTTTAATTAGAGCAGCTCTTGGAGTCACTCTAATTAAAGGTTCCCCCCACCCACCCCCTGAGCATGTGTATAAATGCCCTTTTTTCCCCAAGTAAGCTCTATTTTGACTTTTAGTTTAACAGAGTCAAGCCTGTGAAACTGTTAGAATGGGTTGTAATGTAATCAGAGTTTGATTATTTTATTCTAACACAGTAAATTTGAATTGTCCTTCAAAATCAAGAACAGAAAATTTGAGGTTATTGTTTCAATTCAAAGTTAATTGAATGGCTCCTTAGGGAAGGCTGATGATTCTTCACTTGTGCAAAAGGCCTCATAAGTCACTCATAGTGACAATATTAACATACTACGTCTCTGACACCAACGTGTATTTGCCCTTTATAAAGAAAGCATCCTGTATTTATCACGATGCAGTCCAGCAAAAGTACCTTTGAAGGCTATACCATGCACCATGCCCTTTTGTGAGAGAACATCTACCACTGTTGCTAAAACTTTCTTCTGTTTAAGTTTACCTACTTTCCTTCTGATCTTTTTTTAAATCATATTTGTTTTGACTATAACATCAACGTATTATCCATATACAGATGGATTTGCGGTAAAAGTAGTATTTTACTGTCATTTTGTTACTCTTTTTTTGGGGAGTCATGCTTTTGTTGTTGGATTGTTGCTGCTTCAGGGGTTCATAAATATAAAAAAAATGGAGAATGATTTTTTTAATGACATTGGAAAGAGAAGTTTCTCAAATCAGTAGTTTCTTTTTTTAATTGTGGTACTTGACATAAGGTATTCCAAGGAAATAAAGAAGAAATAATTTAAAGTTGGCCTCCTGAGGAATTTCATAATCCTCTTCTGTGCTTTGTAAAACTCGTTGAGGACTGTCTATTCAAAAAAAAAAATTAAAATAGTTGAATACAATTATACAAATTTAGATTAAATGAACCAGTGTGAAAGTACTGTGTTGTCTATACTGCTTGCAGACATACTGATTGTGTGCAACACACTTTTCTTGTGTAGACCTTCTTAAAATTGAATCTGGAATCTTACTCTCTTACGACTTGGGGAAGGGCAGTTTTCCATGGTGTTTATGTTTCTGTAATGCCCAAAGTGCTTCCTGTTTGATGTACTAGTGCAACAAGCTCGAAAAATTTACACAAGTGTGTGCTGTGCTTTTCTTCTGTGTACATTTACAAAGTACTGGACACCAATGGACCAGTTGAAGACGTGAGAAAAGAAACGTTTTTAAAAAGGGATACACGGTAGAGGCTTTGGTCTGCTTCATTTAGTTCTGGCGTACAAAAATGTGCAGCTGTTGCTTGCATGGCCTTAAATGGAGATGATCTGGGCCTTCTCCAGAGGAATTGGGAATCTGCCACGGACCACGTTTCTGTTCATTTATTTAGAGATCCGGTTGATTTTTTTTTTTTTTTTTTTTTTTGGTGTTTGTTTTTTTTTTTTTTTGTAGGGTTTTTTTTTTTTTTTGTAGGGTTTTTTTTTTTTTTTGTAGGGTTTTTTTTTTTTTTTGTAGGGTTTTTTTTTTTTTTTTTTTTGGGGGGGGGGGGGGGAGGGATAATATCCACGGAGAAGAGAAGTTACCCTTTGTGTACAGCTCCTCGTTTAAATAGTAGTAAAAGAAATCTTGTTAACTTCTTGTAAGTTATTTTGAGATTGGTTTGTCTTTCATAACATACCTTTTATAAAATGAGGCAAATGTGGTCATTGACCACCTGTGCCATCCATCTAAAACATTTGAGATGTTAATTTGTGGTTTCATAATCTATAGTTAAGAATAGTAATTAACATTAATCAGAGCCTTGTTTGATTACTTTAAAACCACAAAAACAAAGGAATTTGTCAACAGCACTGGATTGGCTGAAGCCTTATTTCATATTGTTATGCCACTTGTCTCATGAAATTGTATACGTTGAAATATATCTTTACAGAGGCACATTCCAAAATAAATATGGCATTACTTACTGTGTAACTCACTGAAACTTAAATATCATGTTTGTTCAGGCTAAACATAATGGAAGAATGAAGGGACATGAGGAGGGACAGTACTGCTAGTACTACAAACTACTCCAAAAGTCAAAGCTGGGTTCTTTCACTTTTGTTCATTGTCACCAGTAATATATTTTGCAGGCCAGATTTTCCCCTTAGTGATACCTGTGTGTAACCTGCACTGTTCCATGAAGTGATTTCAGAGGTGTCCCTGTAATTTAGGAAACCATTTTGTTAGTGTATAAGAATAGGAGCCAATTCATTTGAAATAACTTTTGTCATAGAACTCAGCAGGCAGGATTCTAGCATATCACTGGAACTCTATTATGCTGATTTACCTTCAAATTGATACTACATAGTTACACCAGTTGAGGATTGTAAGGCAGGTAAGCTGAGAGAAGGCGGCATTTTTATATAAATGTTTTTAAGAATAGAGATTGCACTTTAGGAGATGGTTTTACAAGTTTAGTAGTTGTTCCATTTTTCTTTCTTGAATGTTAGTGGTAAGGGTTAAGAGATCAGTCTTGCTGCCTCATTTTTGTTCTATCCTAAATGCCTCCTGGATACGACTCTTACCTTCTTAACAACCTATAGAAGAGTGTTGCAGTAAACACCTTTCTTCTATTGGACCTCTGCTGTGGACCCCAACATGTCGTATCAGTAGTGCATTTATTCTCCTGGTACAAAGTATACAAGTTCTGTCTCTTCCCTACATGTTAGAATGTAATTCAGGATATTCCATTTTATATGCTGGTTGAGATGGTTGCTGTTTAAATTTAATTCTGTCATCTGATATTAGCAAGCTGAGAGAGTCTCTGGCAGTACTCTCTCTCTCGGTATACGTGGACAGCTAGTTAAAAATCTCACAGAAACTAATGGAATGGCCGATTCTTGCATCCTTGAGTTGCAGTATCCTGCATAGTGAGGACATGTTTTCCTTTTGGAAAGCTAAAGGCTCTGACAGTATTAATTTTGGTTTGTTACTAATTGAAGACTGTTTCAGTAAAGGTCAGCTTCAATATCTTCATTTCCTTTAGCCAGTGAAATGGTAATGGACTTTTAAAAAGCATGATGCATTATAGGGCTAGTCTCTTTTTCTTTTTTTAACTTGATGCTTTGACATATTCCTAGGTGGAGAGGAGCTCCCCAAAAGAGACTTGTGCCCTTCTGCTATGAATGGGGTTTTTTAAAATTTCTCCCTCCCAATACATAAGTTTTAATTTTTTAGATATCAGACATTTAGCATAAACTAAATACATTGTAATATCTTATTTTACAAGATAGTATTAAGAGCATAAACATGCAGATTCTACAAAAAACGGGTTCTTTTTGTATGGATGCAGTAAAGTTTTGGAATTCAGATACTAAAGTATTCATTAAATTCAACAAAAACAGACTGGTAACTAGTCTATTGTAGAGTACCATTTACAGGCTTTCTCACTGGCAAAGAAAAAGGTGTTCCAGCAGAGAATATAAAAGGAAATAATGGTTTTAGCTTCAAAGTGTTTTTCGTTAACACTATGCTTGTTTTCCCATTATGATAATAACATCTAAAGGTGCATTGTAGTTTGAGGCTTGTAAGTCTTCTCAATTGGTCTGGCTTGCTTAGTTTGCATTAGGTGATATGCTGTAATTCTTGTACCTAAGAAAGCATGTTGAGTGTCTTTCAGATAAACTGTTCCAGGAAGCATAAAGATTAGCTGTGTTCTTTGACATGTTATGAGTGACGGATGAATGCAGAGACAAAGGCATATGAAGGAGAGATAAGACTCGAAGACTACATTCCAGTTGCCAAGTGTGGTGATGCTGAATTATCTTCACTTGAACAGTAATTACAGAGCAGAGGACAAAGATTGTTTC